GGTTCTCTGTACTAATACACAAGGACAGAAGTGTACATATATACTGTAAGCCTGAGGGATCAGGAACACATCAGGTTGACAGCAAGTGTATGGCTTGGGGAGCCTGGGGCAACAGAGGATAAAGACAGAGTTGGCCCGGCATGCTGGGTGGTGTTGGGCTAGCTAAGGGTGTGTGAAGTCCTGTCATGTGGCACCTTTATCATGGCATGTGGCCCTCCCTGATACTGAAACGAGATGATGCAGTTTATCAACCTCTTCCAGAGTATGCTCAAACCATAATTCCACTCCTAATCTTAAAAAGTTCTCACTCCTTATCTCTCAGATCTCTGCAGTCTGATGGTTTGAGCCAGCACCACTTCTCGTGTTAACCTAGAGGCTCTTTCTAAGCTGCAGTTTATCAATATCTGCTGTCCTGAACCCCAAGCCTAAACCTGATACCAGTATTAGTCTTTATTCTAGGCCAGCACGCTCTTCTAATTCCAGATGTAAATACAGCCATAGAACCCTTTGATAATAGGTTTTATTCTGTGCTGGTATTTGCTGGGCTGATCTGCCATCTTAGCCCTAGCCTGTCCCTTCTTCCAGCACTGAATGTCATTGTAGCCTTATTGCTGCTGCCAGGAGTATACCTTACCTTAGCTCTTCTTCAGAGCAGAGGTGTTGTCAGTAGTTACCTGCAAGATGTGGCACTAAGTTTTGTAGGTAGCTTCTGCTACCTTTTTTCTGCAGGTCTCGTAAAAGGTCTGTAAGGAGGCAGTAGTCTTCCTGAACCAGTTCAGATCCCATAGTAAACAAAACTCATACATAGGATATCTCCCTGCTGACTTTTTGATTTGTATGAAAATTATTTTTGGAGCAGCATGTGCAGTACTGACTTATATCACTATAACAAATGTAAACAAGATGACAACCTGCAGTATTTTATTGGTAGAAATTAATGTTTGTGCTTTGCTTATAAGTGAAGAGGAAGAATATATTGTTTCTGTCAACACCAATATTTAAGATATTTTAATTGTCCTTTAATCTTTGGCATGATCTCTAAAATAAGAAACTTGTGTAAGTCTAGTGAATTATATGTCTTGGTAGTTGAAGGAGATGAGTGACTTCTTTCAGGAAGAAACAGAAATTTACAGTGGTGATGTTGATCTGCTTGTGTTTTATTTTGAGTACTCTGATGGTAGTACAGATCAACTATCTATGGTATGTTAGGGAGGAAAAGAAGAATATGTCCTGTCTCCTGCAATTACAGGTGGAATGAGAAGATTTACATTTAGGTCTAAGTATTTTGGAGGTTCCCTTCTGAGTTTGAGGACATTATTATCATATGGAAGCTATGACCCCACATAAGTATGAGAACCTCTAAGAGAGGAACCAGAAAATGTAGTTAAAAACAAGTCTGGGCATTTGTTTATGACAGAGAGTTCTTGTTACTGGAATTCAGGGGCCCATAACTTTGCCTAGTCCATGAAGTTAAAATTAGTAAGATGCAGCTTTCTGTGAGTGTAGTTCTCTTTAAGGCTGAGTTAACTTTACCATTTTTATGAGGCTGCCAAATGGTACTTATTCTTCATTTCAAAACAACCAACTTGCAGTGTACCCTGTAACTTTGTCTGAAGCTGGGAACCTTACAGGGATTGTAACCAATGCCCCAGATGTTTTCAGTTAATTTGATAAAGGAATGCAACAATGCTGGCCATTTATGAAAATCATCATCACACTTAAA